AATCACATTTACCTATATAAAATGAAAAAAAAATAAAAGTTTTTTTATATATAAGATATTGTTGGATTTGATAAATATAATATATATTTTCTATATAAGATTTACATAAAAATTACAGTCATTTACATAAGAATTATATAAATGTACATAAAACATTTAATTTTAACTTGTTAGAAGTAATTTATATAAGAATAAGATATTAAATTGTTAGAATTATTTGTTAATGTTATTAAAATCATTTTTTCAATAAATAAATTAAAAAAATGTCAAAAAATTAGATGACATTCATTATATGCATTATATAACATATACATGGTCATTAAGTATTTAATTACCATACCATTAAATATATACACATTTAAATTTATTTTAATTTTTATAAAATGGACATGTCAAAAAAGTAGTTATCACATGACAGTCATTCGTAGTTTTGGTGTATAAAGCTTGGCCTTTGATATGGTAAGTCGATGCAGGCTTACTACTTCACAATTCATAAAGCTTGTAAAGCCCATATTATAAAAATTTAGACTATTGTTGGCCCAGGAAATTTTGCCTAACTCGTGGACGAACCAAAAGTGTGGCTGGAGATGGCAGTTTCGTAAGCAGAAAATTAGTTATGTACTAAATGGTTTAATAAATGGCTCAAAACTAATTGCATAATTACAAATCATTTGCCTCATTTGCTTGATTTACAAATGATGCAAACTAGACAAATGAACACCAAACCGGAGATAACCGATGTGATAAATGTCTGTATAGGGTAATCAAAGAGGCTCAAAAGGGGGCGTGAAGTTATAAATTTATAATGATACTGAAAACAACATTTATTAAATATCTCATATATGTATATCGACCATTGTAAATTTACGAAAAACTCTGATTTTATTTTTCTAAGTAATGGGTTCGTACTTCGCAGTTTTCTTGAGGAAAAGTGAATTTACAAGGAAACTACGTAATTTGCTTAAGCATTTCTCTGTCTCATCACTTAATTTTTACCTCATTTTAATAAGACACTACGAACTAAACAACTTTTGAACACTACATGTTGCAGCAAGATGTTTTCGAAAAGCTGATCAATTAAAGGGCTAATAGTGTTGAAGCATTGAGTTCTATGCTTAATTTGCTTAAGCATACTTATATGCTTTTACAAAGTACTCCGTGAGAATATTTCTTTTAATATGGATTTGATAATGATCTTATATTCAACAAAACCTTTAACCATCCAACAAACAAAAGAAAGATATTTCTCA